AAATTGTGTGTTTGACCTCAAGATTCCTGCACTGCAGAGCCCCTGAAGTTTATCCCCGAAGTCCTGAGAAATGGGTTCTTCTACTTACTGAAGGAATAATATGGAATAATGATATTTTTCTTGTGAGGCAGCAAAATATTAGCCTGCAGGATTTATTGCAGACATTGAAAACTCGAGTTTTCACAGCACTTATCAGATTTCTGCCTCCTTGTTTTAAGGAACCCCAGGATTTGTTATAATTATTAATTTATATGTTATAAATATAATTATAATTATTAATTAAATCATATAAACAACAATATTTACGCCAATTCGCATCCTTCATTATATCAGATGTGTAAAAACACCTCGGAATTGAGTCTTTTTTTACCCTGGGAACCCACAGRGTGTTTCAGCTCCTCAGAAATGAATAAACCAAAGCTGCTTTTGACATCTCAAAGCCTCTCCCGTGGTTCAGAGCTCGGGGGTGGATAATGGGAAGCTGGAACCAGAATCTGCTGCTAAGGAACAGGCACAGCTTTGCTGCCTTCCATTGGTGAGACACAGCTTATTTATACTGAGTGATAGAGCCAAGGAAAACACCAGGGGAGGAAGGAAGTGAGGGAGGAATAAAGCATTGGAATGGCTGGAAAAACACTGCTTTAAATGGGTGTTCTCCCGTGCTGAATACCTTGGGATATCTGGAATAATTTATGTGCTCTGGATCAGCTCACAGCGAATTCTTATTCCAAAATCAGTGGGGGTTGAACAATTGGCAAAATCAGGGCATAATTAGAGGGGTTCTCTGAGCCACATTAAATCTCTTTTCATGAGGAAATATTATTTACTTATTTATTTATTTATTATCCAGTAAATCTCCTTCCTGTGCACTCCTCGGAAAAGCTGCACAGGTGTCTGGTGGTGAGGTTTATTCTTAGGAAATGAAAAAAAAAATTATCTGCCAGGCTGTGTTGGTGCACTTCTAGGCAGAGGAAATCAGGTTCTGCTTCAGCTTTTTCATCTKTTCAATGAATTTTGCAGGCAGTGGGGACAGAAATAGTGAGGGATGATTTTGCATGGATTTAAAATTGTGTGGAGGAAAATCCAGGTTCTCCTGAGCTTCTCCAGAGCTTTGCAGAGGGGTTTCAGTGAGGAAATTCAGGGTTTTCAGTGAGAAAATTCAGGGGTTTCAGTGGGGAAATTCAGGGTTTTCAGTGAGAAAATTCAGGGGTTTCAGTGAGGAAGTTTCAGGGAGGAAATTCAGGGGTTTCACTGAGGAACTCCAGGGATTTCAGTGAGGAAATTCGGGGGTTTCAGTGAGGAAATTCAGGGGTTTCAGTGAGGAAATTCAGGGGTTTCATTGAGAAATTCAGGGGTTTGAGTGAAGAATTTCAGGGGTTTCAGTGAGCAGCTCAGCCCTTTGCTCCCTGATATTTGTGTCTTACTGAGTTTCCTGTGAAAAATATGAATTAAAAGGATAAACCCTCCCATTTTATCATTCCCATGTCCCCCATGTAAGTGTGACATGCACTGCAATCCTCTCTGGCTGTGTTTTACTCCTCTCCACACCCCTGGGAGTGTCCTCAAGCCCCGTGTGTGTTTTTTTTTTTTCTCTTTTCCCAGGAATTGGTACGCGGATGAGCCGTCGTGCGGGGCTGAGCTCTGYGGGGTCCTGTACCACCAACCCTCTGCCCCACCCGGCCTCGGAGGACCCTACATGTTCCAGTGGAATGATGAYAGGTGCAACATGAGGAACAACTTCATCTGCAAGTATTCCCTGGGTAATGAGGCGCTGCGGGGCTGAAAACACAAATTTCGGGAG